TGAGGCTTCTCTTGCTCTACTGATTCCTTCCATTTATGCTGTAGTAGGAGGTGTAGTCTAGGACGAATTCATTCGGTAGATAGAACGTTTATAGACCCACGACCGAACACAAATTCGCTGTTCGTTTCGATGCTTGGTAATTAGAAATATACTCCAATTCTTCCGATGATTCGGTAAACTCATATAGTCTAATATATTTTGTATGTTATCTTCTTATATCATACCGTTTGAATAACACGTTAACCTTTTTATCTCGTATAATAATATTGTTTTGTTGTGATGTACAGATACTCACAACCAGTAAATCCGATATCAAGTCTCGAATCATCTTAATACTTTCACGCAAATTTGGGAAACCTTTTTAACCGTAATATAAGATTTGAAAACGAATGACGGGAATATGTCCTGCAATATAATGTTGAGCAAATTATTTCGCATATAATTGCAAAATGTGCCTCGTAAATCATTTCCTCTACTCTTCATTTAAAATTCGAAGCAAACTAACCTTCATTTACTATTAACAAAATTATTCATGATCATCCGACTGTAAATCCGAGATATCTAGCGGCTCTTGTCTGAAAATCTACAGATAAGCGCGGTACAGCAGTGCACAATTCTTCAAAAATACAAATGTTTTGGAGGCCTCGTTGGTGCTGGTATGGTGTATTCGCTACGATTTGTTCAGTGAGCCTCTTAGCGATCCATTAGCATTTTAATTACCCTTAATTCAACGGAAATGTTGTGTGCTTCTCCCACTCTATTGCTCAGTATTTTACGCCACTTTGGAACTTTATCACCGGTGATCGCAGTGCATCAGCACTCGAAACGCAATGTTTTCATAGCGTTTCGAATGTGAATGCAGTGAACATTGTACATCTGAGAGTGAAAACTTTAAACGTAAACGTTATGTTTCTTGTGTGAACGCTGCAAACATTCTGTTTCTGGTGTGAGTGCTGTGAACGTTAGGGTTTGGAATGTGAACGCTGTAAACATTCTGTTTTCAGTGAGAATTATGAACGTTGTGGTTATGAGTGTGAACGCTGCATATATGTTTTGTTTCTAGTGTGTGCGCTGTCTACATTTCTATTATGAATGCTGTAAAAGTTATGGTTCTGATTGTGAACGTTATGTTTTTTCAGCGTTTTAGCAGTTGAAACGCCCCTATATTTGCAATGATTTAAGTGGAGTCTAAGATGTACTATTCCACTCTCGCCCGAGTGCCACCGGGGGTTGACTCGATATTTCCTGAAACGCAATCTTCTTTATATCCAATAAATCTTCACCGATTGCTTTTTCATGACGTCACTTGTAAGGATGAGCACCTGCTGTTATTGCTTGCAGTATTTCATCGTTATTGCTCTATTTATGCACTTATGACCTCTTGCTCCGACCTGCTACCGAGACAAAATTTTTGAACAGCTTTCGAACGGCTTGCAAACTCTCGGCTATCCAGAGCAAATCTTGTACTCAAATTGAACTAAAAATAGCCGTTCTGAAGGATGGTTTTCAAATATAAGTGATGGGGCCAGAATTGGGTATTTATATGAAGTATTTGTTTTTGTATGGACAAAATTAGTGCAAAATTACATTCTTTGTTAAAGAAATAGTTATTCATCTAAATATTCGAACTGAAAAATTTTTAAACACTATAATATATAAAATTAAACACTATAATATTGCGCTGACGTATAAGTCAGCGCAAGTAACTTTAGTGGAAATCCATTTTTTTGGCTTTCAGTTGAACATTCGGGATTTTTTTGTGCTATAGACCCTAAAAGGTTGTTGTAGTTTTGTTACCAGCATGTAGTTATTCTACGTACAATTACCATTATAAGCATGCGTATCATCTGTGCCAGCAGTTTTAGGGGAACAGTTAAAAGTTTAGGCTCAAAGAAATTCTCAATATTACCGTTTAGCTTCGATGCTGAAAATTAGACCATTTGTGCTGCAATAAACATATTTTTATTATTATATATTTCGTAAAATAAATGGAACACAATTTTAGAGCTTCTCACAATAGGTCTGGGTTTGAGCTTGCATCAGACATGGGGAGCGCGTCGGTAGTTTAAACAATTTACATGTCCTGAATATGCAGCAACTGTTGCTCCTCCAGGCTCTCCTCCAGCTATTATACCTTCTCGTATGAAAACATTTTTGCTAACCAGACAAATTTGACGTAAAAAACCGAACTCGTGTATTGAACATTGAATGTCAGTTGGAATGAGTTAAAATTATTAAATTTCACGCATAGAAAATCGATTATTGAATGGGTTAAATCTGATTCATTTCAACTGAATGTTAGTCATATAAAACTGTCTGAATTAAATGACATGATGAACGACGAATGTTAATAATTTTTGATGATATCGAATTCAACACTGAGTATAAACTGACTGTTATTTATAAAAGTATGACATTGACGTTTTATCTCATTTTCCTCGCATCTCCATCAGTTTCGCATGTGTGAGCTTATGAACTGGGGAAAAAGTATTGATTTCAAAATATGATTGAGTGCAAGTAATAATTTGTATAATACAATAAATTAGGCTTGCAAAGTTTGGTGGATTTGGTTTTATTTACGATCTAATCATCTTGATTTCAAAGCTTCTGAGACGCTGAGAATCTGAACGTCCTGCATAGACGTTCAAATTCAATTACACAACACCTTACATTTGATCGAACACACAACCTCACATTTGATCGATGTCAAACGTAAAATCAACTTATTGTTCATTTTTTTATTTTAATTTTTGTTGTTGTTGTTCTTTTCCAGATAAATTACGAGATATGACTATAAAGGATATTTTCTTTAATGGAGAAGCCCTAATCCCAAAAACATTTCGCCAATGTAAGATCCTGTCAGACGACAACGGTGTTCGGGAGACTCAATGCTGGTCTATTAACTCCATCTTGATAGCGATAACAAAAATCAGTCCTCGCCAAAGATCTCTTTTAGATTCTCGCTAAAGTTATTTGTTTTTAACCACTTATTCAACAACTACACACATTAGTATTATGTGTTATAATTTGCACGATAGAAATTAATTAGAATTCACATGATTTAAATCGAGCTAATCAGTGATATAGCACAACTTTCCGGGTACATTAAAATTACTAATTTTAAATAAATGATAAGAATTTGTAACCAGAGTAGAGTTTTGCATAAAATGTATGATTAAATTGCGCAATACGTCACTTGAAAAATAATTTTTTTCTCTTATCGCCTGACTTATCGCCGAATATTTCCATTTTCACGCTTCTCTGATTTTGACACTCATGCAGCAAGTCTTATTCTGTTTGATTTTACGACACTGCACGGCGCCGCCACAACATGTGACAACAAGATTCTGGATTCCTGAAAAACCGTGTCAATGCTTAAAGAATATTGAGCAAAAATTTGATTATCTTCTGTAGATAAAATCCCTTTATTGCATCCAAACCGACGGGTTAAAAATTGATTCGCTTGATGCGAGTAAGCTTTACAATCAAAGAACGTCGTTAGAATGTTCATTTCCTTAGGAACAATAGCAATAAGAACCCATTTAACAGATAGTGGCGGTTATTTGCTACCCCATCCAGAATTTCCAAGTATTTAAAATACCCTTTGCGTATTTTTCTAGTTTTATTTACAAATTTACGGTGTATAATATTTAGATTTAAGAACATCTCTAGAGCACAAAGACAACCTATTCCCCTGAGACGCTCTATAATTCTCAGTGCACGACTGCATAATTCGCTTTAATGCAATCTCCAGGCTCTGCAGCCATAACAATTTTTCGAAAATGACTAATGCGTTCGGTCGGGAGCCTCGGTAGCGGTGCGACACAATTTAGCTGATTGCACAAATTGAAGCCTTCAGCGAAAGTCTACAAATTTGCATTCCTTGCCAAGATCTGGAATGAGCGTCGGTAAAACATTGCGCATAAGACGCCCATATTTATGAGCACTGGAGTACTAAAACCCATTGAAATGAGCTGCTCTTCAAATATGTATCAAGCTTGCTGAGGAAAGGTAAACATTATCGAGGAATTTTTCTTAGAATTCTCGTAACTTGTCAAAAATCTGAAAGTTGAATTTAAAATAATTTACACCTTCAAAAACTGCTGCTCTGACCAAACCTTAGGATTAATTTATGCACCCTTTAGGTTTTTATTTTCAATATAATCCACGCTGTTCAATAAACTTTAGATCAAACGGTAGTAATTTCACTTTCGTTGCCGGAACCACGCACTCAAAGGAAGAACAAATAAACTATAACACGAAAAATTAAATTTTTCTACAGATTGATTTAAAATAAACATTTCAGCGAATGAGTCAAATGAATCATTTATATATGAATGTACTTCGCGCAGTTTCTGAAATTATGTTGTTTATAAGAGCTATGAATAGTGCTAAGTCGCCATACATCTCTACAATATTTAACGTATCACCAGCCCTGCAGTTATGTCCAAAAATTGTAGCCGTATTAAATATTTATTTGGTACTCGCCATGTCTCCAAACAATACACCATTTCTGCAAAATTTCCATTTCACGGCTTACTTTTTCAATCAACTCGTGCGTGCATGTTTAAGCGTGTAATTATATACCGTGCGCTTTATTTGTGTAATTACCGCAATATTTATCCTGATTTTAAGATAGATTTTCAAAGCTTTGTTCTGAAATGATTTCAATCAGCTCCCATGTCGATCTAATCGGTAATTTAGCTTAGATGTCCGAAACTCATTTCCCACTTCAAAGGAATACTGTTCCAAAAATCGGGTTTCAAAACCAGATCGGTTTTGTTGTTCAATTATTCTTCAGTTTCATTCTCAGAATGCATTTTGATTTGATGATTATCGAATTTTTCACCCGGATTTTAGTGTGGATGCCGTGGCTCAGCTCTGTCTTTGATCTAACTCTGGTCTCTTTAAATTATGCCAATAGTTAATAAATTCTATACTCCCTTCGGAATAAAAACTCCTTTTGACCAGATTTTCTTGTGGATGTTCGTGGTTCTTCCATGTCTTCATCCGTGATTCATCCATGCGAGTACTGGTCAGAAGCTTAAATTTGTTGAGTTATGCATCGGTAACGTACCTAAAATAGACTTGTTAGCGCATTTTCTCATTTATGGAAAGAATGCACTATTGTGCTCGCCATGTCCGTCTGTCTCTCTGTCTGTCTGTCCGTCCGTCTGTCTGTCCGTTCGTCTGTCCGTCCGTCCGTGACCTCACGTTTTCGTCGACGAGAAAATGCGCTCTCTGTCACTCACTGCTGTTATTACTGAGTTATATTTTATTTTTAATTAACGCGTGTTTTATCCTGAATGAAGTGTGGATGCCCGAGGCTCCTCCTTACCTTCGAGCGAACATTGGTCTGACGCCGACCAACTTGGTACAAGAGCTGAGTTGCTGGCCAACGCCCCCACACAAGGACTTATGCTGAGTCATCTCGTCGAAGAGGATGGGGGACTTTACCATTGCAGGGTGGACTTCAAGTCTTCGCCTACGAGAAACCTTAGAATACGTCTGGATATAATAGGTAAGGTTTTCTTGGAGAATTTGTATAATTTTATTCTTTGATTAATCCATGTTGATAATTATGCAATTTTTATACGAATTTCGAATTGGAAAAAATTTGCATTGTACCTCATTAAACTGCAGGCGTTCACTGACACTCATCACTGGTAACACGTTCGTGGATTTTTTTTGTGACGGTATTCGTGGTACCTAATAGTCGACAGGCGCAAACGTTATGTCATTGAATATCAGCCTCTGGTGTCTGTAAAACAAAAAAATATTTACTGCATATTATACGCCGAAATTTTTGCCTTTGAAGTCTCATGTTGCACTTGTATGCTCATTTATGATACCATAAATATAGCAACATCATGAAATAAATTTGAAATTTGTTCAGTAGGAGTGCAGTCATTATGGCTGCACTTCCCTGCGTAAGTTCAGCCTCGAAGCAACATTATTTAGTCTACTCGTGATCTCTTGTTCTTAAGCTGATGAAGACTAAACCTATAAGGTCGAGCGCAAGACAGAAACATGACCAACGCGCATCTTCTTTTTAGCGCATTTTCTCATTTATGGAAAAAATGCACTATTGTGCTCGCCATGTCTGTTCGTCCGTCTGTCCGTCTCTCCGTCTGTCCGTCTGTCCGTCTGTCCGTCTGTCCGTCTGTCCGCCTGTCCGCCTGTCCGCCTGTCCGTCTGTCCGTCTGTCCGTCCGTGACTTCACGTTTTCGTCGACGAGAAAATGTGCTCTCTGTCACTCACTGCAGTGAATACTGAGTTATATTTTTTTTAATGTTTAATGACAACACGAGCGCCTGTTCATATCGTTCCTGGGAGGAGGCGGCTGACTTCCAGACTATGTAGGCCAGCGAAATATTTTCTGACCTCTGATATTCATGAGCCTATAAAAATTGTTATGATCTCATTATCACCTGAATACAGTATAAGCAATAGTTTGAGAGAATGGATAATAAAAAAATTCGAGGACAGACAGGAGGTAATATTCACAAATATAGAATATGATTCTGGTAGTACGAATGAACGAACCGACCAATAAGACGTGAAAATTTCCGTAATTGAAGAAATGAAAAGTTCCAAATAATTGATTAGAAAACTATTTTATCTATATTTTGTGATGCTAAAAGTGAAGCGAAATTTTAATGACTCTGCAGTGCAACGTTAACTTTCTCTGTTGACTCTGCAGTGCAACGTTAACTTTCTCTGTTGACTCTGCAGTGCAACGTTAACTATCTCTGTTGACTCTGCAGCGCAACGTTAGCTGTCTCTATTGACACTGCAGTGCAGCGTTAACTTTCTCTCATGACACTGCATCTAACTAGCTAACCTTCCACTCACCTGACGTTGAAATAATGTTGAATATACACGGTTTTAACGAAATCAACTCATTATCAACATTGTTTCAACGTCATTTTCTTTAGAAAAAACGTTCTCCCACGTCCTTACAGTTCCACCCCGGCACCTGCTCATCACCAGCGCAGGTGAAGGCGGTCGCGTTGTGTCGGGCGTCATCGGCCCCTACGTCGTGGGCACGCGCCTGCAGTTGCGGTGTCAGGTTACGGGGGGTGAGTGACAGGCAGGTCATCTTGCTAACGTCAGGGCTTGTAATGGTGAAAAATATCGTTATAATAAATCGTATGAGATGAGAAATATTATGATGATGGTGAAAAATATCGGGATAATAAATCGTATGAGATAAAAAATATTATGATATAAAGATGAGAAATATTATGATTAGAACAACCCGCAGTTGCGGTGTCAGGTCACCGGGGGTGAGTGGCAAGCAGGTCATCTTGCTTACGTCAGGGCTTGTGATGTTAACAAATATCGTGGAAATAAATCGTGTATCAATCTAAAGATGAGAAATACTGTATTATGATGAGAACAAACCTGCAGTTGCTCTGCCGGGTTACGCGGGTTGATTGACAAGCAGGTCATCTTGCTAACGTTAGGGTTTGTGATGGTGAAAAATATCATGAAAATAAATCGTATATTAATCTAATGTTGAGAAATATTATGATGAAAACAACCTGCAGTTGCGGTGTCAGATTACGGGGGGTGGGAGACGAGCAGTTCATCTTGATAAAGTCAGGGAAAATATTATGAAAATTTATCATATAATAATCTCGAGATGCGAAATATTTTGCTTTAATGTATTGAAAAGCAGATAATATTATTTTTAGCAGATGATCATCATATGATAAAAGCAGATAATATGATTACATCACTTATGTATAATTCTTAAGAAATTTCTATCAAATTTACAAGGGAAGTTCTATCGTCAAAATCAAACTACTTCTATAAGTCAAAGATTTGAGTGAGGTACCTATAGAATTTAATTTTTTTTACTTTAGTTTGTTAGGCGTGCTAAATGAAGATAGAATTTAGGTTTGTGAAAGGAATGTGCAATTTGTGAAAGGAAAATAATAATAACTTTGTGATATTTTTATTTATTAGGCATTCCGACCCCGACGGTAAGTTGGTGGCAGGGCGGGACGCTACTGGATGACGTGAGCGAGCTGTCCACGCCGGAGGTGACGCGCAACAGCCTGCGCATGCCACCGCTTAGCAGGTCTGATCTGCTGCTACAACTTTCTTGTGTTGCCTTCAACAGCAACCTCACCAACCCCATCTCAGCCTCCGTCACCATCGATATTGCTTGTGAGTACAAGATTTGGAATAATCATCTTAATTGTGCATGTGTGTAAGGATGAAAACATGTTGGTATAGTTGGTAGAAGTGTTTTTTTATGGAGTTGATGCAGATATAAATATATTTTCGTGGTTTGGTTTGATTTGAGTAGTTTTCTTCGAAAAATGCGTGCGAGCAAATTTCACTTTAAAAAAGAATGCTTGTAGCGAATAATTTAATAATAAAAATTAAGGAAAAAATGAAGCCCGAGGGAAAGAAGATTTATTTCACACTGAAGATATATTTCATACATTTAGTGATCAACTATATTATTTATCGAAAACGGTTTGCAATTGGAATTAGTGTGAAAAATAGCAGCAGGTACAACAAAAACAGTTAGCCATGCCATTGTTGAAACTGTATCAGACTGAACGTAGAAGATGATATAAATATGATCGCTGTGCAGCTGCTAACATGAGCAGCATTACATTCCTCCTTTTACACCACTTATGATAGTTGAGGAGAGCCATTGTTTTCCGTACATATGAACAATCCTGAAAAATAATGAAAATTCTGTTTCAAATGTCAAGTAATATCGTTGCAAGGGAAGCGCCTTTATACTTCACTCCCCTCGAGCGAAATTGCTCTAGCAACTGTTCTCTTTCAAATGTTTGTCGACAGAATGACGTTAGTTAGCGAAAAAAGCGCTCTACCTACATCACAAAAATATTGCGTTCAAACTTCCTAGAAAATCGTTACGCAATTTTTTTTGAGACTTTTTTCGAAGAGGCATCATGCCTTTTTATTAAAACAATATCAAACTTTGCTCCCTTGAGTGTGAACGAAAATTGTTCCATTTCGGCGGTCTTCCTATAGTTTTTGCGCGTTGTACGTAACTTCTGAGCCACGCGAATCTAGCGACTTTTGAGGAAAAAACCGATCAAGCAAGAGCGTGAGCTGCTGAATTCATAAAGGAACACTCAATCTTGGTTGCTACACTCATTTTATGGCCCAAAAAGTGTAAAAAAACTCGACCTGCGTGGTAAACTTTCACTCCACCATTTCAACGAACTTGTAATTAGGTTAACACTTTCGTATTATCGTAGTTGCTACGGAGTTTTCTAATGTTGAATCTGTAAAAGTTCTCATTACGTAGAATTGAAACTGATTTTAGTAGATAAAATATTGAATAAAAAACGTGTTGATCTTGGTTTTTTTAAAGACTATTGCATTGCCATTTCCCTTCATGATGTAATTCAAACTCATTTCTCTCCCTTTTTCCATTTTAAAATTGGATCACCAGATCATAAACCCAAGGGAAAAGTCGAGAAATTCAAAGTGGATTTGCCCGTTTCTATTTTATCCGACAAAATTTGATCGCAGGGCATCAGCTTGCATTTCAAATTGTTCTCAAAATCCAACGCAACTTCTTCGCTGGTGAAAATTTTTTCACTCCGCAGTAGAGTGTGGGAATCGTAAAAATTTAAGTAACTAATGAGTGAAAACCTTGACACTCGAATTCGAATAGTTTATTATCCTCATTTAGAAATTTCTTCAGAATTCTACACTTTCTGAATTCTACACGATTTATGCGTAATTGTACGCTTTGTACTATTAAAATTAAACTCACAGTGCCGGAATGCCGATCATAGATCAAAAGCGATATTTTATTACCCTTAAGCAGGTGGCTGCTACAGAAAAAATTAATTGCAAAAAATTTTTCAATTTGTACTTGATAGACGAAATATTGTAAATTTCATAATAACGTTTGTATTCTAAATTAAATTTTCACTGTATAGTTAGTCTCAATTTGAGGAGCATTTCTGTTCATGTGGGCAGCTACTTACCAAAAATTTTATTGGGCCCGTGTAGTTTATCCATGTCTATTGGTCCTGTAATAGTGAATTAATTTCGTTTACCGGAAGAATTCTCTATTTAAATGACTATATTTATATTGTCATAATGACAATATTTATATAAATGACACTGCCCAATGACAATATTTATATTTTCTAACATTGTCATAATATTCCATCATTTTCAGCTTATAATGTCTCTTATAATAACTTTCTATATCCGATAACTTTCTATATAGTCGATGCACTTCCTTTCTTTACACTTGAATAAATATTAATGCGATAGAATATCGCATTTTCTCTGTCCAGTCTGGCATCGAGGCTAGCTTTCAGATGCGAATTACGACGGTCATTTTATTACCACAAAAGCTCATGGATTGCCGTACAGTCAGCATAGCAAACGGGCTGCCACAGACTAACTATCAGTTGCGCACTTCTGTGGCGATCATGTAAATGCAAACACTTACTTTGGTGTGGAGATGCTTAGGGAGGCTGATGGAGTCTCTCCCTTTGAATCGGGTGCTGTATGATAGCTCATGTTTATATTATGTTGTGGTAATTATTCATAATTACTCAGGAAGGTTGATTTAATTATTGCTTTTTTATTGTGCAGTGTTAACTATTATTATTTATTTTATGATCACTCGGTAACTTTACTTATCTCTATGGTACTTACATGATGACATAGGAATAAATAGTTTCGTGATTGTTATAGTTGTGATTTAGGAGCAAATATGAATCATCAATATTAATTATTCGTTGAGAAAATTATTAATAATTGTTTTCTTTATTTAGTAAATAATTCTTGGACATCTACTGAGAGTTTTATGCTGATCAGTAATACCGTTAATTACATGGGGGTATACTTTAGAAACCCAGGTTTTAAGTGAACAAGTATAGGGAATACACCTAATATTAATGTGTTCTTTAACAAAAATTTTCGTTTCGGGGGTGCCAAAGATTTACATCGCGTCGTATTATTTATATAAGTCGTATGAACTTGAAATAGTTTTATTATAAAAATGATTCATAAATATTAGTGCACTCCATTAGTTCGGTGCATTATTCTCAGACCATCTTGTTGCAGATTGAAAAAATATCATATTTCATATTATGACTGCTAACAGAGCAAGGAACGTATTTCATAGTTCGGATGGTGTGGAATTCTGAGATGAATATGGCAGTTGCATGATTTCTATTCAAAATCTTAAATGCTACAATTCAAACCCTGCAGTTTCTATCGCTTCCAACATCAATATCTTTTGAAATGCACGACGAAATTGAGCTCGCGCTGTTTCTGAATTCGTCATTTTCTCGCTGCAAAAAAATTCTCTTCGTGAATGAACAATTGGACTGACTGCGCTGGGTCGGGCGCTTGATAATTTCTTGTGCCATTGTCTGTGTTCCAACAGTTGCTCCAATCTCCGTGCGACTGCAATTGTCTGACGATGAACATTACGGTCGCCTGGATGGCAGAGAAGAGGAAATATGGCCAGGTTCTTGGCGGGAAGATTTTCGTAAAAGCAGTGGAAACAGCAGCAAAGATAGCAACACATTCGAATACAAAATGAGCAGTAGCGTGAATCTTCAAAACTTGAGCTCTGGAAAAGTCGCTCCTCAACATCCCAGTCTCGTACGAAGTGACGGCACCGGCTCGAAAAACGGCGTGTCTTTGGAAAATGAAGTCTTCCGGAGTAGCGGAAGGCTTTGGAACAGTCAGAAGTTTGATGCCGACGACCGATTGGTTTATATAAACCGACAGCCGCCGACTGAAGGACACGAGTCGCAAGAAGCGAGCGGAGGACTCGTACGAAGTGAATCCTTCAGAAACCTAACTGAGGTTGACACGACCAAGCCGGAATTTCGTTCCAAGCTTCACGATGATGGAGATATCGTTACTTCGAATCCTAAACCCCCGAGGCAAGACCCTAGCCGTGAATGGTTTTTAGATACGCAGAAAGTGGAGACGATAACGCTGAGGGAAGGACACAGAGCAAACATCCATTGCGAGTCTTCAGGAAGTCGGCCTCCGGCTCAATACAAGTGGATGCGCGACGGCCAAGAACTCAACGAAAGCTCATATAAAACTTCGATAGTTGAGCCTCCAGATCTAAGTACTGGCAAATTTCTTTTCAATCCGAGCAGCTACTCTTTATCGGCGCTGTCACTGGAGCCGCGATACGAGGATCATGGCTCCATGCTGAGCTGCTGGGCCTTTAGTCCGACCCTGCCCAACGAGACGGTCAGACAAGACGCTGTCTTGAACGTCCTTTGTGAGTATTGTTTTTAAAAATGCCCACTATTGTGAATAAAGCGTATTATGAATTTCATCGCACGCAAGAAAAAATATGCAATGAGAAATAAAAACTCACAGACTTCGGGAAAAAAAGTTTTTTCTTACTTATAAGAAATACGATTAATTTAATTCATGACATGAAAGAACAAACTTCATTCTATGTGAATAAGCATTTTTATAATAAGTTTTAAATTTAAACAAATTAGTTTGGAAAAGTTACAAGCAAAATTATGGTTTAGTAATTGAAATAAAACAGTGAGGAGATAACGCTTGTCCTAACAGATGTAGTACTAAATATGAAATAGATTCCCAGATTTATACATTTTTTAGAAATAGTATTTGGAAAATGACTGATTGATCTAAAAATATGTCCTGTGATTGATTTAAATCACGAACTCCCTAGAAAAATTCATATATAAATCTACGAACGAACACTGACTGATTTACATACGAACATAGGCTGATCTACGAACACTGGCTGATCCAAAAAATATGATGCAAATGTTTGCCTGCCCTCTGACAGATGCACCCCGCGTGACGCTGGCGGTGGCGAAGGATGTGGCGTCATTGGATGAGGTGGAGGAAGGTGATGACCTCCACTTCCAGTGTCGGGTGGATGCCAACCCGCCGGTGGATAAAGTGTACTGGACTCGCGATGTGAGTGCCAAGTAGTGAGTAAACTTGGCTGGAGATGGTCGAGTATTCACTGAATTTGGGCACTGGGAGGTTGAGTGCTTGTATGTTTGCATGATCCAAATCAAAACTTCACAGGGAGAGGAGAGATGTCCATTGCAAGAACGATTTATAAATGGTGGCTAGAGCTGTCGCCAAAAGCATTAAACTATGACTGTACTTGTTTTATAATATATTTAACTTACAGTAGATTCACCACAAAATCAAGTGTACTTGGGCCACGTTAGGGTTAATGCGCGGTCTGAAAAACCGCAAGACTTTGGTTATAAAGAGACAAAAAGCAGGTAATTAAACTTATTAGTTAACAATCGTCTTGATAATTAATGAAAACCTATTTGTTAATTGCACAATTCCGTGGCTGATAGTTGATACCACAACTTGTTTGAGTTTTGTGATGCAGATCGTCACTCATTGTCAGTCACATTGCCCTGGGAACCTCAAGGGATGCAACCCAGAAGTCATGCATACAAATGTCCCCTCGATTGATGAGAGCCTGGAAGTTTTCGCTCCGTTTGGTGTTGTTTTAAGAAACTTTCTATTGGCCATGAAAAGTTCCTCAACAGATCTTGTGAATTTTTCAACTCCAGACAGGTCAAAGCGCGTTTTCTTTTGCTCTATCTGTTCTATTCCCTAGTATATTTTATTCGATGCTTGATATTTTACAACCTGTGTTTATTTATACAGCAAATAGGAGTGGAGTTATAACTTTAGAGCTACTGATGGTGGCTGACGTTAGCCTAAAAAGCAAAGATTTCCAGATAGAATTTGTCAGAACATTTCTTTTATCTCATTTTCATTGTCTGGAACCTCGAATAGCCTTTAAAGATTGAGCTTATGGATTGATAGTAGTGCATGCGTGACCTTAGATGTTATGGGTTAATTTTCACAATATTTTATTAAAATTCTGCTAGCAGAGTTTTTTTTTTTGTTGCTGAATCTCACATTAAACCCCGAGAATAAAACTTACTGGTAGACAGACTCTCAAAGTATTTGAATGTAAGGTGATCCAACCATATTAATTGGAGGCATATTTTTTAATTTTCGGAAGACCGTATATATTCACATTTTTGTTTCGTAAATAATTGATCAAAAGACAAAGTTGGCGATTTGATATTTAGATCAGAGTAAAAAATTACTTTTAATTTTAATGTTATTTATTTATTTCCACATTGAACCAAATTCCAAAAACTGCATTTAATTTTAAACAGTTTTAGATAACTCACTTGTCTCCGTAGTGTGTGTCATTAGAAATGTTTCTAGCTCTCTTTATTCCATACACACTCCCTATCAACCTGTGATTTTCTTCTCTTTGTATCATTGTCTTATCTATTCTTTATTTCTACAATTTGCATTTCTGAGTAAACAAACAGCTGGTTTACTTTAGTGTACTCTATAATCCATTTCATTCAAATTTGTGTCTCCGAAGACAGACGATATACGATTTATCGCATCCTGTATACGACTCTCCGCGCCGAGGTTATGGCAGGTCGTCGGCGGGATCAAAAGGATTTTTTCCTGTGACACGATACGGCAATATGGCGCTGTCGCCGATATTGACTTCATTAACTGCTGGTCCCAAATACAACGATGTGCTGTTTCATTATGAGGTCGCTCAGCTTAACCCTCCGCTGCTCTATTCAAGAAATCTTTTATAAAACAGCGACTATCTTGTTCAATAGGAGAGCGCTCACTGTAAACCACCACTGCACGAATCTTTGAATGCTCTTATTGAAGACAGAAGGGCTTTTTAATCAAGAGGAATCTCAGCTAACCCTACACTGCTAATGGCTGAAACGGTTGACTTTAACAGGATTAAAAACGTAACTCTAGTGCAGATTTCTTGAAGATTAAGAACACTTCGCTGACATCGAATTAATAAAATTTGTATGATAAATTAAAGGTGCCGTTCTATCACTTGTGCCTCAATTTTTAATCATTTATGGCTATGCAAACCAACTAATGCAAATGAAATGGCTTCCTTTTCCTACATAATCTGAAAATCTGAGCAAAGTCAAGCTTGTCATCTGAGCTTGTGAAAAAACTTATCCAGTGGCTGTCATACCGGGTTATTCATTCTCGGTTATATTTCACGTATTAAATAAAGTTTTCTTCCTCAATGACTCCAAGCGCACTTCGATGTTTGAATAATATTTTAAGCTCATAAATTGTGCGGTATCAAAATGTATAACGTACGCTAATACGGCTAGTCGAACTCACGGTTCATTGTTTTCTGTTTTTATTTTAAATAATACGTGTATAATCTGTAAAATACTTTCAGTTAGTATCGGTATTCGTTTGAAAACACTGAGGTGGGATATTATTCATTAATTTCGAGCAGAAATTTTGAATTTTTTTCAAAATATTGTCATTTTATGTACTTCTGGTATGTCTTCTAAATTATTTTTATTATTGCATACATTAATTTTGAAAACATAGGTAAAAGTCATTTTATGCGTGCATGGATAATATGTTCAAAGGTTGTTATTGTTATATGCCCAGCAACAGCAGGATAGGAACTTTCTAACTACTGATTATAGAAATGTATCTCATGAACATGTAATTGTATATTTACATTACATGCCCGGCAATAGAAAGACGCTTCTAATAATGACGACAGAAAGATTGGTGGAAGGTCAATTATTACTAATAATGAGCTTGCAAATCATGATTTAGTACCATTAACAGAACATTGTGCACTATACTTATTTAAAAAAAAATAAAAATTTGTAAATAAAATTATAGCCAATCAGTTCATCGAAAATTCAACATAAATTCGTGTATTTAATCTACGGAAATTAAAACCTGTATTTCCATATATATAACATAAATAAATTCATATAATTAATCTTTGGAAATAAATACTTATATTTCCAGGTACATTATATTAAAAATTTATTATTCATATTTAATTATTTATATTTCCACACATATTATATACATAACTTCATATATTTAACCTATGCAATAAGTACTTATATTTCCATGTACACTATATAAATTAATTCATATATTTATTCTAAAAATACTTATATTTTAACACATATTATATACATAACTTCATATATTTAATCAATGGAAATAAATTCTTATATCTCCATATATATTAAAAACATATATATTCAAATATTTAACCTATGGAAATAAATACTTATTTTTCCATGTATTCAAATATTTAATCAATGAAATAAATAAATATTCTGGCACCAGGAGGAGGGTATCTACCACAGTCCAGCGCAAGGCGTCGTGGTCGCTGGTCATGGTCTGGAGGTGCTCTCAGTGACGCGACATAACGCCGGCCGCTACGCCTGCTTTGCCAGGAACTCTGAAGGAGGGGCGGCGTCTGATCGCATACAAGTCCTTGTTAAATGTGAGTTTTTATCCTTTGATCTTTCCTATTGTTTTGCAGTCACTGTACGTATTTTTTATGTATCATACTATTATTAGCGCATTTTCTCATTTATGGAAAAAATTACCTATTGTGCTCGTCATGTCCATCCGTCTGTCTGTCTGTCTGACTGTCTGTCCCTCCGTGACTTTACGTTTTCGTCGACGAGAAAATGCGCTCTCTGTCACTTCACTACAGTGAGTACCGAGTTACATTTTTTACCGTATTTTCTCTTGTATTGTTTTGAAGTGACAGAACGTTAAATTTTCTTAATTCTTCATAATATGTCTGTTACCCTCCCTTCTTTATTATTGCCTTATAACAATCGAAAGTTTAAATCTATTTCAATCCTTCATAATATTTATTTTATCAGCTTTTCTCTCCCATTATTTTGTAGTCAATGCACGTTGGAATTTATTTTAGTCCACAGATAAATGTTTGTACTCTCTCTTCTGTCCACTTTTTTGTAGTGACTAAATTTTAAATTTTTTAATCCCGTTATTTATGTTTTCTTCTGTTCTTTCATACTGTTTCGCAGTCATTGAATGAATTAATACATAATAGTCCTTTATAATACATCCAGGAACAGTGTTTTCTCCAGCCCTGAACATGCACTGATAATTTCAACTTTACTAGTTTTAAATGAATTTGAAAATTTGTTCGATTGCACAACAGGATTTTAAGTTAAATTTGGTGCAAAGAATTTATACAATTGAAGTTGAATTTATATATTAAAATTATAATTTATTTATCATCATCATCATCATATGCATTTATTATTTATTATCATCATATGCATTCGAATACCTATGTCAAAAGAGAATATAGAATATCTTGACATTCAAATATGTCAAATGTCATGATACAATAAAATATTCGAAACCCCTCATAGTATCATGACATTAATATTAAATATTGATCATCAATATTGAATATTGGCCAGTAATATTGAATATTAACCATTAATAAAGTACAATAATAACCATTAACATATTGGTTATAGACGCGCCGGTGTGTAGCGCAGAACAACCAGCACAGGTTGGGGCGGGGAGGAGGGAGGCCATCAACGTAACGTGTTCGGTGGCCAGCCATCCCGCACCCATGTCCTTCAGATGGGCCTTCAACAGGTTAGATTTCGTTGAAATAACGTTTAGTCAACTTAATTTCAACGCCAAATGCCTGGTGTCTACTTATTGATATCATGTGCCTGCCTAGTAGTGGAGTTGTAATACGGATGTGAATATTTGCTACCTATAGTGCTAATTTGGCAACCTAATTTGTCCTAATATTTGTTACCTAGTGCTATGTGGGAATTAAAGGTTTATCCTCATGAATATTGGCTACCTAGCGCTATGTGGGAAAGGAGCTTGTCCTTATGTATATTGGCTACCAAGAGCTATGTTTGAAATGAATTTTTTTCCATGAATATTATCTTCCTAGTGCCATTTTGGAAAGAGTTTGTCTTATGAATATTGGCTACATAGTTGAATTTACTGTAATTGCTCAAAAATTTACTGTAATTGCCTGTAATAACTGATATTAATTTTTTGAAATCTATTTTTGACTATATGCAATTGTAGCATCAACAGCACAATTTTAATGACTTATTCTACAAGTCCCCATTAGAACAGAAAGACTATAAGGAAGAGGAACAATCACTGTTAAATCGAATAAATTAACTGAGTTCTGCTAAAGAAAAAGTTTCCTATTAGTCGCAAAAGATCTCTCCAGCACCCGGCCATAACAAATACTAGGAGCAATGGGGAGTAAACACAATTCTCAGCGGGTGTGGGAATTTATTACCCTAAATCGTTACCCATTTCCTCTTAGGTCGTCGGAAATGGTGGACATCCCGCAAAGCTCGTACTGGACGAGTTCTGGGCAGTCCAGCACGCTGGGCTACCAAGTCCTCACTGAGATGGACTATGGCTCGCTGCTGTGCTGGGCAATCAACGACGTCGGCATTATGAAGACGCCGTGTGTGATAAAGCTGGTCCCTGCAGGTGCGTATAATACGGTAGCTGGTCTCTGCAGGTGTGTATAATACGGTAGCTGGTCCCTGCAGGTGTGTATAATACGGTGGCTGGTCCCTGCAGGTGTGTATAATGCGATAGCTGGTCCCTGCAGGTGTGTATAATACGATAGCTGGTCCCAGTATAATACGGTAGCTGGTCCCTGCAGGTGTGTATAATACGATAGCTGGTCCCTGCAGGTGTGTATAATATGGTAGCTGGTCCCTGCAGGTGTGTATAATACGAATAATTAGTATCCATGAAGAAAGTTATGCGTATACTTGTTCCCGCTGCCGTGCATACTCTATCATCAATCGTGAGAAGGAAAGTTGTTCTCTATGGTGATTATGATATCATTTGTGTAGCAAAATTTTCTACCATCCGTTGTGTACATTCATTTTGTGAACAAAAACTTGTCTATAATGGAGTTTCCAATTATTTGAAAAACATAAAGTGATATGTTCGCGCTCATTCTATCTCATTTTCAGATATCAATTTCGATGGAATTAGTTCCGCCCTTCACTAACATCGCTACTTTAAAGTCTAAATTTAAACAGCTTAGCGGCATTAAAAACCTGAAATTAGTCTGTTCAACGCGGACTGGCTGCTTAGTGGCAGGGAAATATTACGAAATATTCGATATTAGGATCATTTCTGCTTGTCAGTTACGCGGCCACAGACTCGAATTATCCAACTGAATTTGCTTTGACTGGGGCCTGTAGATTCCGAACATCCAAGGAAAATTTGCGAAAGATTACAGTTAATAAAATTTTAAGGTTCCAATTCGGGTTTCTGTGGCTGAACGTATAGCAATTATTAGGCGGTTAGAAAGCATGATTATGTGGGTAAGATTGTTTATTATTTTGTAGATGAATTTGTGAATTGAAAGGCTTTTCAAAAAGGAAGCATTGTTTGATGAAGCCTGTAATTTGTAATGTGCATAATATTTAAACAACTTATTCGTAACTGAAATTATGTAAGCATATTATATTGAACTTACTTAACCAATGAACTAACTTAAACTTAACCAATATATATCTATCGTTCGAATTCAAATATATTTTGTATTTTCCACCCAGTCATGATAAAGTGATTACTAACCTCTCATCTAACCCTCAATAATTATAACATGTGTGACTTTAATGTTTCTCAAACAATTCGCGTTTTTCGAATTATTCAACGAAGAAAACAGATTGATTTATATCAAATTGCCCAAATTATTCCAGGTTTTTGCACTAATTCAAATTTAATTTTGAATTTCATTTTTCCGCTTTATTTTCCACAAAAATTACTATGCAAATCGATGTCGTAATTTTCAATGTCGGAGTTGATCTTAATTATTTGGTAGGATCATTTTAAATTCCTATGCATGTTTTATTAAATTGTAATAAATAATGTCTTATCTAAATGAGCCATTTTTACCCAAATATGAGGCGCTGAATATGTATATCGTTCTTCTCTAGCCAAACCTGAAGCAGTGAAAAACTGCGTCATCAAAAACGCATCCAAGTCTGGCCTTCAGGACATTTTTTCCTGCGAGCCTGGATGGGACGGTGGCATGAACCAAACATTCACGCTGGAGGTTCTCGTGTCAAGAAACGTGTATTCGCGATCCCTTGCTCTGGTTCGCCATTCACCAACGCCTTCATTCGACTTGATGGGGCTAGCGCCCGACAACGATTATTTGTTGGTCATAACCGCCACGAACGGCAAGGGTTCCAGCCCGCCTCTCACGCTGACCTATCGATCCCCTAAAGCCTCGAAAGTGCCATCGTCGACGCCAGACGTTTACTCGAGTACTCAGAAGCTGGCAATATCTTGGACGATCTTCCTGGCAATGCTCACAGGGCTTCTCCTCACCCTCTTATCGTGTCTTGCTGCTCTTTTATATGTCGTCAAAATTAAAAACGGCCAAGCCAGGTCAAGTCGACGCGCGTCTCAAGCGCCTACCAAGCCTGTACCGCCGCCGACCAGCCCAACAGTAATTATCCGCAATGAGGGTGAGTAAAAAGATGACAAGATTTGCCGGTCAGTTCTGAAGCTTAAAAAAATTGGATATACAGTTCAAGTCAAGTAATCGCTGTATAGATGAAAATTTTCTAGTAGTTTTTCCAAGTTTATTCACGTTATAAACATCTGGTATTGTCTTCGCTTACATGTTGGTTTTAAAAATTTGGTATTCCTCATGTTTGAGTGGCTGAGGATGAAATTTAGAATGATTGATGAGTATCAGGAGCTTATACAAAGACACCGAAAACTAAATCTGTTAAATATTTTTCGTAATAACTATAGTTACGTCTTAATAGAAGCCTTAATCAGGGAAATCCTACATAGATCATCCTAAGCGCGAAACACTTCATTATGAAACACTTCACTAAATAAGAATGAATCAAAAATCATGATAGGAAGTCATGAATCATGATTTATCATGCATTAGACATGAAAATAATAGTGAAATGCGTATTTTTCCCGATGACTTTATATTTGTGTCGTTCACAAATATATTATCTTCAATCGTTCGGGCACGTAATTTACTACCGTACAAAACGTTTTTGCCCAGGAATTAAAACGTGTATGCGAAAGAAAGTAATTGCTTGGTCAAATGTGACAATCAATGTTCCATCGAAAAAAAACGTTCTTAACCAAATTTCCCTTTACTCTATTCTGGCCAGAAGAATATGAGAATCCTTTTAATTTTTCATCATGGAAAATGAATTATTTCATAGGCTTCAATTAATCTCGCGGTATAGTAGTGATGTCATATGATGTCACGGCGCTCCAAATCCTGATCTGCACTGTGCAAAAAGTTTTGCACGTTATTTTTATACCTAGCGCGAATAAAGATTCCGGAGTTACAATATTTAATTTAGAGATTTTGAGTTTGCAAAGTTGAAAACAATACAAAGTTCTTCAAGTGCTGTCTATAATTTAGATATTGAGGACTTTGTAAAGTTGCAAACGTTAAAAAATTCTGCAAAACAGTCGTAGTTTCAGAGTTATTTAAGTTGCAAACGTTAGAAATTTTTATTAAGTCTAACTCTTTTATCTCGGCAACAGTGATAAGCAACAAGGCTATCGCGCAGCACCAGCCCCTCCAGACCCCAGCGCGTTCCGCCCCCGACACAGAACTCTGGCGCAGAGGCTGTAGGCCTCCTGAACTCAGCGGCTACGCGCCTGCTAACGGGAGCGTTGTAGCATCTAGAAACGTGAGCACTTACCCGAACAAAATTTAGGGTCGCCCAGCTTCTGGTAATCCAAATCAGAAGCTGCCGCTTCTGTAAATAAATTTTCACTGGGATATCCGAACAAAATTTAGAGTCGCCCCAGCTTCTGGTAATCCAAATCAGAAGCTGCCGCGTCTGTAAATTTTCACTGGGATATACATAATTGGAATTATATTTGCTATGTAAACGACTCCTTGCCATAGAATATTAATTGACGAAATGGTAATAACGAATGCGGTTCTCAAAGTTATGGTCCGTTTCAGTATCTGATTACCTCCAGGCACAACAAATGTCATTGATAAATGAATTTAAGTTCTATGCTAGTTTTATTCATTGCAGTATATGTTTAGAAGCTTAATTAATTATGATCAAGTCCTATAAGTGGTCAATAATTTTCCTGAAGACTTTTTACGATAATAAATATTCTCAGATCTAATGAAGTCATTGCAATTGTGTTCTCGGATACCTTAGGTTAATTTCTTCTCGATCAATTGATTTCTTTCATGAAAATTCAGACATTTTATTGACTTGGCATCTCATGGGATTTGCCTCAAGGCTCGATCACCGGAAAGCTTCACCTTAAGTCGCGATGATCTCTTCTTCTTCAGCAACAAGTCGGGCAATTTTAGGGGCATTTCGCAGGACCGGAAATAAGTCTTCCGCTAAAAACTGCGGATGGGAATGTTTTTTCGCATTCAATTGAAATTTTGTTCTAACTTTTTTGGTGCTGGGTGTTTATCGTGAAATTATTTTGCAGGGGCTGTGTATAATTATAATTCATGAGCTTCAATATAATTAACCATTAAGTTGTGCATCAATAAACTTGATCGAATGGATAAAAAAATAAAAAAAAATAAAAATGAGTATAACACACGTACAGGGCCCTAAAATGTTTTTTTTATGTCTGTATAATATCGGCGTAATTCAAGCTATCCGTATTTCGAAAATTAATATAAGTGAATTGATAAAAAATTGACCGATTTCAACGTGGAATATTAGGAAACAGCTTATTAACTGCCATCAATCTATGTATATGCCTTAACTAAGAGCTTTACTTTTATTCTCGGTCTTTCACACACCGATTTCAACTTTTCTTCTAATTAATTATATTTTCCAGTTAATTATAATATTAAATTCTAAGATTTTCTTTTAAGTAATTCATTTCATAGCCGTTACGTGAGTACAATATGTTTTCAGTCCTTCACACACAATTATCGATTCTTCATTCGTGCATATAAGTTTTCTTGTACTGTTATTCGAATGGAATTTGTTTTAAGCCATTTACACAACAGTCTCAGCTTTCCATTCATACATACCCTTCATATTCATGCATTCATGAATATTCTCTCTTCGTTACTCATTTCGCGTCACTCTCTTGACAGGTTACCGCATTTCGCAGTTCATCCTTTGCCCAAAGCCAAGCGCTGCCGAGGCGGCCTGAGGCAGCCAGTGGCGACTGCAAGGAATCTAGCGACGCTCCTCACGATGCCGGCTGTTCGTCATCATCCTCGTCTCGACCCTCATCAGCATCCTTGACCATCTTCAATTTTGGCGGACGGTCAAGTTGCTCCCCCGTACCCGCTTCTGGAGCATCATTAAATCTTAAGCGATTCCTGGTCTCGTCTCCGACCGCCTACTCCTGCTCCAGGTCGCCTACTCCAATCAGGGAGGACGGCGTTAAAAACTCCGCGGTTATTTTCTCCGGCATCAGCGCGGCAGCGTCCAAACTCAAGGGTACGGAAGATTCGGATGCTGAAACTTCACCAAGCATTATTATTGATCATAAACATTGTGCTGAAAAATTCTGCGAACGAGTACACACTAACACAGAAAAAGAAAGAGATGTCGACGATGGCCAAGTGGAAAATACACAACTCTATCAGGAAAAATCCTGGGAAAACCTGGCAAATGAAATACAACATTCTTTTACAGCAAATATTATTCATACAAAAGAAAATAATGAGAACCGAAGTTCCAAATCTAATTTCAAATCAGAAGAAACAGAAAATAAAACTACCGTACAGAATCATTCCAGTGTTGAGTTGACAATTGTTCTAACAAATGGCTCAGCCCTAGACTTAAACGTAGAGAAAAATGGCGTGACTGCTAATAGAAATAAAACTGCTAGGAAATCCTCAAGCCCTCCGGGAAATAAACTGTCGACATTGCACGCTAACCTCATTGAGACGAAGCCTGTCGCGGACACTTTATTTTCTCGCGGAGCCTCTCAAGTTTAGCTCGCGTCTCGCATGTCCGATCCTAGCTCATATCCATAGTACTGAGCTGTATGAGAATTGAAGAACCTAGTCTCATTTATTCTATTGTATTTTTAAAACAGCTTACTGTTAATCGCGTTGGCTTGTTTAATTCAATCGCGTTATTTTTGCTCGAGCAAAATACCCAAATATTATATTTAGTCACCATTGTCCCAAACGAATGTGATTGATGACCAAAATGTGATTTTTTTCTTATGCGCGGTGATGATTCGCCATGGTTTGCTCAATGAAAACTGATGGAAATTAAAAAGCCAAAAATGACACTAATATGACGTGTGTTGAATTGCCGAAAATTATCCCTGGTGTCCCGAGTTCTTGAGATCACAGGACTAAATGGACACCGAAGACGGAGCTCAAAATTACTCATCGCTCAGGAATTTATTAGCAGTGACAGTGGCACAAAAATCGGCATTTTTTGACATAAGAAAACGTTTCGAAGCCCAGCCCCATCAGAAAGCGCTCCTGCATTTTATTTTTAAGATGCGGTGAACTTTTGTACAATTTTATAATTATTTTTTCTTTTGCTTGTAAGTTCCTGGAAAATTTGCGATTAAAGCAATTAAGTGACCTTAGTACTCGGTTAAAACAAAAAATTTACAATGCATTATTTTCGATCTCTATTACCAGAAAAAATCCTTTCTAAGGTCAAGAACGCAGCGAAAGTAGCAGTGAAACGCGTTTTATGAACAATAAGCCTCAAAATTAAAAGATTAAAGCAGTAATTTGACAGTTTATCTCCTGACTATATATATATATATATATATAGTACTCCGCACTGTAAGAATATTTCTAGTCCTGGATTAGTAAAAGAGTTTCACGCGGATTATTGTTCGCTCCAAAATAGCTCATGGTAATTATTTATTTGCTATTAATCTTCTTCGTCTACTAGAGTACTAGCCATGTTGGCAAATTTATTTGCGATCAGGCCGAGAAATAAAATAAGGAAATAGCTCACTTGACGTTGGTAAAATTGTAACATTGAAACCATAGACAAGTGATTTTTGAAAGATTTTCCCATTACAAATGCTCAATTTTAGATTTGTTTCCCGAAAACTCTGAATTTAGCATCTTATTTTATAACTCACCAGAAACTCAGAAATATTTTGAATTTCTTGACTTAATCTGTATTTTTCTGTGTCAAAAATTTTTACGCCAACAAAAGATTAATAGCCGAGTACGCCATCCCCGTATTGAGTAGATACATTTCCTGTTTAGAATGCAAATAAGAAGCTGGCTTTCAGCACTTCTTCATACACTTGTCCCTTTAGCAATCGCAGTAAATGATTAGATGGTCTCAAACTTGATTTACCGGAATTATTATTGTATTCGACATATATTATACTATGATTGATTTAAAGTTTGAAATAAAATATTTCGTTAATCTACAAGATAAATTCAGTATCCTTTCGTCGTGTTTTTATTCCGTTTAAAATTTATAAACGAAGCAAATCATCATTGCATTTAAAAACATTTTTTTCTGAGAATTTAGTGCCAAGATTCGGTTGTGCTCCTCACCATTCAGCTTTTTTTAGCAATCCGCCTTATTTAAAAACGCGAAAATTTAAAGATAATATATCCAGCAGTTTGAAAAGTAAGCACTAATTCTTCCATCGATTTTAAATTTTTGGGACAAATTTGTAGTAAAATTTAATCTAGATTGATTTTGGTTAATTTTTTTATCGTATCTGATTCTGAAAAAATAAACATATTTCAATTGGCTTCTTAAACTAGCAAATGTACTAGTGCGACTTTAAACGTGGAACATTTAAAGACTTAGTAAGGTTCATTCGTAAAAACTCTGTGCAAGTAAATTCGTTTAAAATTGACGGACACATCATAGAAAATTAGTTTAGCAGTCACAGAAAATACGGACCGAACATAAATTTTTAAAGCACTCCGAAATTACCGACTTTCCAAGCTACTAAAGGCTATTCTAATTCCAATGAATTACTTTCGCCGGTATTTCCGATAACTTCAAATAAAGCAGATGATGCCTTTTGCTGCCCAGTATAACCATGTATTCAACATTTAAAACGTGAATGTCTAAAGTTTTTATTCTGGTCGAAGTCAATTAGGTCGTTCTTCCTTGACAAAGTCATACAGGCATTTTTGAAATATATAATTGAATCCATATTCATATACAATTATACATATACTCTATTTTGTATTGTTTATGGTGACGCCTGTTGACCATATATATGACATATCATTGTATTCTTTTGTAAAATGTGTTAATAATGAAATATATACTTATAATATTTATCTATATACTTTAAATATAATATACTTTGGAAAAAATTCTTATCACCGCCTTCAATGTGCAATAACGTGAATATTGTTTACGCTATTGGTTCTATCAGTTAACATTTAACCCTTTTTAAACATCGGGCGATGGTATTTAGGCAATGCTTAAATACCATCGCCAATGAGTTGCTCAGCGGGCATAAAATAACCCACTGTTCTTAAAAATATTCCTTGGTGTGTGTTTTCGTAAAAGCTTGGACAAATATCCGATTACTTCCTCACTTGCTCTACTGAGTTGCATTTCACGGTTACTGTCGCCTGAATAACTTGCAAGTTTTTAAATGATACAGAGTTCGAGTGTTTTTTGAAAGTATTTTGAACTATGAAAGTAGGTAATTCCAATTATTTTGGAAATCACATTTAATTGTCACGAATGTTATATGTTGTTATGCCCCACCGCGTCCATATCATATGAACTTTTATTTATACAAAAACCTTTTTGAATGTTTAGAACGTGTTGTATTTTGAAATCTGATTGAGGTTCGAAGCAGTTTATTTGATCAATGATCATTGATCAAATTATTTTATTCAAGTTAGCACTTTCTCATATTGTTAATTATGTGCAATAGGATTTTTTTAATTTGAAACAAAATAGAAAGTTTTAAAACCTTTCATTTGATATATGCATAATTTAAATAAAGTTCAAAGAAATGATTAATGTAATTACCCGCTCATTTTTGCTCGTGTAAAATGACACCTGCTATACCCCAGTTGATTCCAAGATGACGCACATGTTACCTCACTCGCACTAATTCCAGGAGTTTGAATGTATTGTAATTTTGTCTCTGGAAAGCCATGACATGGTTCAGAAATTCAAATTGTTTATGTGTAACGTTTAAGGATGGAAAAGAAGATATTATGAAGGGAAGCAGCTGAAAATTAAGCAATGAAGCAGTGCAGGCCGACCAGCTCACGTGACAATTAAATGACACGTTCACGGGAAATGTTTTGTAGCATTTTGGTCATCCCTGAATAAAAGGTTCGATGTGCAGAGAATTTAATAATACACTATTTTGATAGGAATCTTTAAGAATCTTCCTTCATAAGAATCAAAATCCTTTAAATTATAATGATGTTTTTGTTTGGAAGAACTGTATTAATCTAAAGATAAATTGATTACTCAAGGATTGCTCATGTGGTTATGCACCATGCATTAACATTAAAGGAATTCGTCAATTTATTTAATGCAGGTATTGTTATTTTCACCCATAGTCGTTTGCACACCTTTAATCCCGCGTATAGTTCTTCTATGTAGAAGAGAAACCGAGCGGTTATCAAGATGTTGCTCATTACTTTACTAGGCACAATATTGTATTATTTACTATCCTTATCTATAAAATATATCTGTCTGTTGAACGAACATGAAGTATAATGCAAATGAGATTTTTTTTCTTTACTTCCTGAACGGCATAACGGCTGCAAAATTCAGTAAGGTAAGGTAAGGTTCTAAATGAGTAGATAAATGTCAAAAAGAGTGACGGAGAATAATTTAATCTCCGTCAAAGTTCATTAAACAATTTTCCTCCTATTGATCATGTAATGAACGCAAGCTCTTGAGAAAATCAGCATGAAAAGCTTTGGAAATGCGAGACGGCCGCTGTAAACGTACTCGAGTTTCCATCAACCCTCTCTGTGATGGACCGTATAAAACTAGGGATAATTGCTGTTTTTTCAGGCCTGTGTTGTCCGGAATCTAGCGGTAATATTGCAGGAAAGGAGCGCATTATAAAAGCACAAGCCAAATTAATTCAATCGTTAATTAGTGCAACTTTACCTATGGAAGGCAGGCTTGCTTATTAACCAATGAAGATAACTCTGTCATGCGCTTACTAAGCAATTGTTTGGTTACACGTATTCACGCTTTGAGCATCGCAAGAAATAATAAAATTCAAAAACTATTCTAGGATGAAATTTATGTAAAGTTTATATGAAATTGCAATGGAAGCAATGAAATACTGAGACGATTAATAATAATATTTAGTCACATGACGATGTGAATGATCGGAGATGGCAGTGAATTACATGCATTCTATTCTTTTACATCTTAAATAATTTTTACTGTTTGGTTTAGTTACTTGGTATTAAGTTTAATTGCCTACAAATAGCTGTTGACATTGATTTGTCATTCAGTGGCTGCGATCGGGTAGTTTTTTTCCGAACTTAGTAGCTTATTTACGTATTTAGCCATGGAAAAAGAACAACATTACAATTTGATTTTAAGTTCTAAAAATGTTATTTATGCATCGCTAAAGCGACACTCATGTGTAATTCAACTTGCACATGTTATGCATGACTGCTTCAGAAATATACTTCTGGGGTGATGCAGCATATTCCGCAGTCAATATTTCCTAAAGGAGGGCATGTATCCTGCAACGTTCCTTCGCTCCCACGAGTGACATGAAATGTTGACCTCCAGAGTCACTGTCACGGGCGAAGGCCATGCATGTGAGGCTTTTGTATCTTGCTGTATACTGAAGCATTTTTGTTAGGTCGCATGAAACCAGATAATTTATTACAGGAAATGTTTTGTTACTGTGATGAACTGAGACACGATCTCCCAGCTTCTTCATCAACGGGACATTTATTTATAATGTTGGGTTCTGAATTTGATTTTTTGATGGATATAATATTTTCAGGTATATTTTCATCTATAAAATGTAAAGTTCATAGAGAATATCAACCGAGTTATCAACACAGTCCTTTGTAGGGACACTATTTATCTGTTTTCAGTTTTATTAATTTTCTAGAATATTTGTTTTTTTTTTTTTTTGCAAACCATCCGAGCTACTTAAAGATTGACATTTTGTTTCTTCGTAGATTCAGTTATCCATAGGATCATAACAGCCTGATCCGCCAATGTTTGGGGTAAGACATTAAATAGCTCCTGTTATATTGATCTAATTTGTAATATTTACTTATATAATGTACTTCATTTATTCATCTCGATTTGTATTATGCCATTAGTATTATAGCCGTTTGTTCATTCTACAGGTGCAACTTTCATACTTCACAAAATACACTTAAAACGCTATCCTCGGCAAATTCGTATTATAATCCCCATTCTAAGTTCTTGAATTGTAGCGGTTTCGTAACTAACCGATCCGCTATACCTTTTTAGTTTAATTTGTGTACTAAAATTCACGATAAATTTTAAGGCATACAAGACCGTTGAAGCAGGTTACGGATACGAGAAATTCAGTATTCATGGCGTTTCAATAGAGTCGTTAAGTGGAATGAGAACGAAATATAAACAATATGATAATCGAAAGTTGAAAATTTATTTCACATATATCTATCCTTATTTGCATTACCTGTGTCTCGGTTAGAACTGTTTTAATTTTGGTGATTGATGATTTTTTGGTCATTGTTGTTGTGATAATAATAGCCTTGATGAAATAAAATTAATTCTGTGACTACAATTGCTTCAGCATAAAAATCTTGTTAAATTATACACAATTTTGTACAATATTTTCATCATAGCCAAGAATATAAAAAAATAAATCCCCACTATAGGAGCCTATGCTTTAACCTTAGTACGGATTTCATTTGACGTTATCAAACAAAGTTGAACGAATGCTCAACGCTTTGAACGACGCTTGATGGGAAATAATCGAAGATTTTTGCGGGAAATCCTATGATCAGGACGATTTTATTTGCGTATAAAGGGTCATCCTAATTTCTAGCTGAGACATTACAATTCTTAAGATGCTAAGAAGTGATATATTTTGAACGGCATCATTCAAATGAAAAATAAAAGTTTCATCTCCATCTAATTAATGGTTCAAAACATGTTATTTACACCTGCTTCTTATTTTCTATCATATTAGATGACATCATTTCAGTGGATCTACGTGACTGAATATATGAATGTTGAAATGCCTAGTAATTTCTCACGAAGACTTTAATCATCCAATGGGTGAAATATGAATGGGTGAGTTCCACGCATTCAGGAGACAGTGGAAAAATGACTCAAAAAGTTGATATCAATCCACAAATATCGATAGATAAAAAATTTTGGGCGAGCAAAATCCTATGACCATGTTAATTCGAGAGCACCATGTAAATTATTTAGATTGGCCGAATGTGAAGACACTTATACTGTATCTCGTCATTATATAATTTTAGTAAATTAGTAAGTCAACATGATCGAGTTGATGAGCGCGACGCCGTGAATTGAAAAATTGTCTCCTTGCAGAAAGTGTTGAAATGTGAAAATGTTTTGACGCTAAAATTAGGTGTTTATTGAGAAATTTATTCTCTAAAATACCGCCTAGCTTATATTGGTAAAAAGATGAAAGCTTTAGCTTGTATAACACCCCCAACACTGAAGCTCTCTAGTGAACACGCTACGAACTATTACATGGATGCAGAGACTAACAGTGAATATTGTAAGGAATGAATTATATTGGATTAATAAACGTCTTATTCCTAAACTATATGGGAAAGTAATATGTGTAGCCTCTCACCTCACTGTGCATGACCACAAACAACTATACTTGAATTTTCTCGGCTAAATTCTGAATGCAAATTGACATTTGGGCCAAGCCCGTACGTGGCGCAATGCCAGGCTAAAGTAAATAATTCAGAGGCAGTTCCAAGTTACGCGGAAGGTCGTAGATGTTGTTTAGTTATTATCAAGCGTCATATAAATATTCAATAATATCTTGCTCGCTATTTCATTTCAGAAGTATGTACAGAAAGTGGAATCTGAATAAATTATTTATAGGTTCACCTTATAAATAATAAACAATAAATAATAAGCAAGAGAGAAAATTATTTCTAAGTTCAACTTATAAATAATTTTTAACAGTTGTATATAAGTTCAATTATATCAAAAGTTCAAACTTAGAAATAAAGGCTGGAGAATTTTAACTGAAGATAATCTTTCGTACCCCAGCATAGCACTGTCACTAAATATAGCACCATAACCATATGGCGTGGTGGTTTGTATCCACAATACGTCACTTCTAATACAGAGTTCATCTCGCTCCCTTAAATGTTTGCTCGACTTCCATGATGCGCCGCTGCTATAGGAATATCAGTGGGAAAAATCAACACATTTTATCTGCACGATCGTGTGGTGACGAATGGCAGGCCGAGCTCTGCATCAGTCATAACGTCGGACGATATCCGGTCTTTATGAGCGACAATCGCGCCAGTACAGCGGTCGTGTACAACGTCTTCTGCGTTGGTGCTGCTTCGTCTGCATCCCTGTGAATGTCTGCATCCAAACTCCTATGGAATTGAATGGATCTGCTTGAGTTATATTTGCATATATTCGAGGATCATTACTGTTAACACAGCATTGATATTAAATTGAATCACAACAATTAAGTCTCTCAATGCATTGACATTTAGTCGTGCTCAACTACAGCTGCGAATTCGACAACAATATTATACATTCATTTTTCAAACTCCGACAGAGTTACATCGACATATATTCGAACTTCATCACTGTGATCACTGCACTGAGAGTTAATAGAAAGATAATAGCTGTCACTGCATAGATATATTGTCGTGCTCAGCTAATGCTGTGCCTTCATTTATGTTCAAGAGAAAAATTTTCTCGCGGAAATGCAAAGCTTTATTCCTTACAATGATTTTAACTTGAGTATCATCTCATCACTGCCAGAGAGTTAAATGATAGTTATCTCATCCATTTATGTCCACAGAATTTCAGAGAGATGAAATCCTATGGCGAATGAAAATGAAACCGAATTATGACGCAATAGATGCACAATGCGTATGCCACGAACGACATTACCTCACATTAATGAAGTTTCTTTTGATATTTTTTATGACGGCTTTTCCTATTTGACGGCTGAAATTTAAGCGACGCCATTAGTGTCGGCTTTTAATCCCTGCTAAAGTGCATGGGCTGGACGGTTAGAATAAAAGTTAATTTCTAGCTGTAATTGCTGTTAATATCACGCTAATTGATGCCTAGGATAATGAGTTGGATGCGAGCTCGTTGCCCTACTGCTGCTTAAAAACTCAGCAAAATGTCACGGGATTTCATAGAGAGAATTATACTTTTCTGTTTGACTAGGATTTAAATTTATAAGTTTATTCAATCAATAATTGAATTTTGCTAAATGCTCAAGTTAGTTGTGAACATTAGTACTGTACGTGCGAACATTAGAACTGTACACATTTATTGGTCGATTTTTATCGCGAATGATCTGTCACTTGTGAGTGGTCGCAACATATCATACAACTCAGCGTCATTTTTTCACGAGTGATTAGCCCTTAAGAAGCCATAAACCCAGGGCCTATACTTTCAAAAAAAGTTAAGAGATCGTAAGTTGATCAGCCAAACATTGATGGCATTTCGAGCAAAATCCACCAATCATAGACAAGAAAACAGCGCGTAAGTACTTACGTTCACTTAGCGAGCTTTGAAAATCTGGCCCCAGGTCCCTCGACTTGTTACGTACCTACCAAAGGTGTGTGCATCTAAGTGTGTCAACGGTCATACAGAGGCGCCATCTTCGACGCTCGAGCACTACCTAAAAATTATACATAGGAAATTCGCAACCGAAATTCCCAACTTGGCTGCGTTCTTCTCGGTGCCATTTGTATCACTGCGACATAGTGGCTCAATATTACACAAGATTTGAAAAGTTTGCTACGATTTAAAATTAAATGCTCCCCACTTTTTAATCCGAAGGCCAATAGACTGTATTATGCTCTCAATAGTTAAGCATTATCATGATACTTAAGTAAAAAATTGGTTGAGTCATTAAACGCACGTAACTTCTTCATCATTTTTTATATTATTGTCAAGCCGCAATTAACATCCTCAAAATTGATTTAAGAAAAGCTTTATTTAAATGAGCAGGGGCAGTAGTCTTAGGTTGGCAAGTGATATAGGCATGCTAGAATGTAGGTGAAGCCTATATAAATGTATGTATATGAATGTAGGTGGAGCCCTTTAAATTTATATCCGAAATAACTGATGAGTGATAATTTCTCCACCAATGGATTAATATGTAATTACCTGCAATACGTTATTAGAATTCGTAAGAATTGTCACACGGGAATAAATTCAAAATAGAAGAATTTTGTCTCACATGGGATGATTTAAAAAAATATCAGATTAGAGTGAATGCAAACGAAAGTAGTTGCCTTTCGACGACATTAATTATTTATTACTTTAAATAGTGCAGACTTAATATTAAATTTAAGGGCTTTTATTCGTTCCGACATCAACCGACACAGAAAACTGTGCAATAAGCTCTAGTGATTTGAAAAACATTCATAGTCTAATTTTTTCGAAGATCTCTTAGAGATCAAAAAGTCTGGAAAATTCTAGGTTGATAGTAATAAAATGGAAATTCTGGTTAACAAATTTAAATTTACAGTAGCAAAAATTTTTCTGCTTTCGTTCCTGGTAGACATCTGACTTGGCAAATCAGTTCGGGCCGCTCTTGAGTGCGTTCAAGGAGGCTGCGCAAAACAACACCGAATGAATTTGAGTGGAGCTTCAACTCGAAGGCAGGTCGAGTTCTCTTTTCTGTTATGAACTCTTCGAGCCCCGAGTCTTGAAAATGCAAAGAACCTTTGGCTGTAGTATTGGCTTGTCTTTGGACCTTGAAATTTATAACAATAGGACTTCATTTTTGTATGAAATAATTTGAGTAACTTACTAGCGAACTGGGAATCCATTCCAAATTAGTAAGAAATAAGAACTTGCAACGAAGTAGACCATGAATAAAGTTTGAAGTTAAAATAATTTGGGGAAAGTGTATAACAGAAGGCTCTGTGCTTCAGATTTTTAGAATTAATTCTTTTGTTTAACTATGAAAAACATTGATAAAATAATGTCCAATTGGTCCACGCACAACGGTTTAAATATCCTTTATTTAAGAATGACTGTCAAATGATAGGAGTGAACATCTTGGTGAAACAGGTGTTAAAAAAAGAGACCTGTTTCAGTTTATTTGATTTTACGCAATTTAAACACTACCTGGAAATTGAGGAATATATACAGGGTGCTGATGCTATCGCTAGTCGTTCCCACGACGTCTATAGAAAGGTTGCAGTAAAATGCCGAGGATAAAGATAGTCCTAGATCAATTTCACCAACTTCGGCTTCAAAAAAGTCAACGGCACTTGAATGTCCGTATCACGAATACAGTTTTTTTTAATAAATCTTGCTTTTTGAGATTAGAAGAGGAATTGAGTACAAAAACAAAATAAACATCAAAAATGTCCTTATCAAGATCAATAGCATCGATCGGCACATCTTCCAGTATTAACTTATTTTAATACGTTTATTTATAATTGTAGCTGCTATATCCAGTTATTCATCCTATAGTTGGTTACTCAACCTTCCTATGCGATGGTCTTCCCGTTTGCTGCCTGCATAATTAATTCACATGAGGGGCTGGCCAATGAAACTTTAGTAACTGTACGCAATTTAATTAAAATAAACAGAAATAAATGTTCGTTAACATACTCACAGGCCTCAAGACTCAGTCATGGGCTCCAACTAGATTAAGCTTCAGCCACAGCCACAATCACAGTCATAGGTCAAAGACAACGGACGCAGGTTGAAATTATTTTGCATCTAGTTGTGTAAAAGTTAGAGATACTATTACGTATAGTAATAAATCCTACTACAATTTAATTCAGACTAGGTAGCATGTCTGATTTAAATATGACAATAAATATTCTCAGCGTTTCCACGCCGTACCTTACTGGTCAGCGTCGAGGTAAAAAATGACAGTTGGTGATGGAACGATACTGAAAACAACTCAGATGAACAGATGCTACAGGAGATGCGTTAAAGGTGCTGCTACAATAATGCTAAAAAATCGCGATCACTCATGCCAAAGAAACCAAAACTTTCTAAAGTCTACTATCACTAATCCGTGAGAACGAAAAATGCGCTGCATTAGTTTTCCAACTCATATCTCGGCAACATTTATTACTCTGAAGTCAAAATTTGACAAGCTCGTCACATAGATCTCGCACTGCCAAACTTGTCGTACGAAAGCGATAAAATATAAGCTCTTGAAGTTCATTGCAACTTCCAGTGCATGAACTAATGCCAACTGGTTTGAATATCTCCGTGAGTGACATCGACTGAACGATCTTGATTGGCTAGCTGAAATCATGACTTCTGTAGCATGAATGCGTTATTTGATATTCAGTTTGTAATGTTATTGATTTATTTTTTATTGACGATAATCATTAAAGACTTTAAATGCATACACTGAAATCCGGCAGTTAAAGATGTGGTGCTTGCCAAGAAGCTGAAATTTAATCTAATACAAATATCTTAAAGTGTATTTCGGTCAAGTAGTGAAACACATTGAAGTTTCAATATCAAAAGTTTAAATTCAAAGAAAATATCAAATAAACTCACCTCATATTCAACTTGTACAGCAGCAAACACCTGGCGCCTTGATATGTGCGTGGGCGTACATTGAATTTGACGAGGCATCCGCATAAATTTAAGTATATATGACGTGTAGAATCTAGTATAATCTTTATATTCTACAGTGGAGTTATTTCAGTAGGAAAATTTGTTGAGGGGCTGAATTCCAAACAAAAATTAATACTACTGTACTAAAAATTGCACGGGTTCACGGATTGACGTGGTGATGGTGTGAGAAAAAATGATAAAATTGTAAATTTTTCGACACTTGCCTTAAAAATACAGCGTTTCTCTACCGAGTTGCGGTCCTTTGATCTGGTAATGCATGCTTGCATAGGGCAACCCTAGCTTCTTTCATGTCAGTTCCAAAAGAAGTCTTGGCTCCCGCACGGGCGTCTCCAGCAGCATCATATTACCTCTGAGAAAAGCGAGATGAGTCGAGATTGGAACACCGCTTCTCTTTTTGAAGTAGAATGCCTCTAGAGCAGTCCATTGTACTGATTATTATGAGCCACAGGGAGAACCTTGCTGCATCTGCTGAATAGAAATTGCTGGGTGGTGGAGATCGGGATACATAAATGTCGGAGCAAGATTCTTGTAACTGGCCTCCAGCGACGACCAAATATGAAAAAAATATTTTTATTTATCAATGTGTTGACGAATTTAATCGTAATTTCTTTCTAAACTTCTCTATTAAATATATTTATTTTTATGCTTTACTGAACAAATAAAGGAGCTTTACACCTCTCGAATAAAATATTTTATGAACCTAAGGCACTTTTTGATATATAATATCACAACTTTTCAGAATAATGAAAAATGCTCCTGTTAC